ATGTTTGTATGTATATATATATGTCACGGATAAGTTCTGCATCACAGGTTTCTAACAAAGAAAAATGTTATTTTCTTCGCCCAAAGACAATTCGCATTGTCTCATTGACTGAAGGCATGCTTATGAACATTTATACGGTATACGTAGTAAAAGGAAAATATAATAGAAACGCTTCTATTTAATTAAAAAGAATTTATAACTTCTCTCGATAACTTCTATGATCTAATCACAAAATCATGAACAGGGTCAGCTACACTAAAAGAAATTCGCTCCAATTAACGTTGTCGCTGGATTACAAAAGTTTTCCAATGGATCGCCTTATTGGCCTGATATGAGGCTATTCCTACTAGTTTGAAATGTGAAACTAGTTGGCCATGGTAGGCAAGAGTTAAAGTGTTAAAGTTAAAACAGCTGACTTTACCGTGCTCTTGAATTGCTAATAGAAGGCGGTCGTAGGTGCCAAAATATTCGATCTAAACCATCAATAATTTATTTCATTCATTCTTCGTACTCATCTTATTTGCAATTTGGTCGCAATATTTTTATTTAACCACACACAAACACACGCTCAAACAAACACACACACACACACAAACACACACACATAGATAAGCATAAAGTAAAGCATACAACAACATACAACAACATACAACACCAAACCAAAGCATTTACAAATTTTTTTATGTTTCCTGTTTTTATCGGATTTGGTAAAGTTTTTATATTTTCCTGGTATTTGTGTTGCTAAGAAATAAAATCAAAGATATATCGAAGAGTGTCAAAAGTAGTGCTGTAGGCATGTTTGTTGTGAGCACATGTTTGCGTGTATGTATGCATTTATTATTTTCTATCTTTTTGCTCTTCAACGTACGACGTACGATGTACACATCATCTATTAGTTGGATTATATTGGTTTATTTATCGCAGTTGAACCGATACATAGACAGACCGATAAGGAATACAAAATACAGCAAACAAAATCTTCATCGCTTTCCCTTAAAGCCACATTTAATGTTGTTAGTTTTTCAATTTTGTTATATCCTTTTTTTTTTTTTCTTTTTCTTTTTTCTCCTTTTTTTTTTTTACTTTATCCTTTACTTTCCTACTTTCGTAAAATTTGATTTTCATTGCTTTTTTTTCACGTAGCATATTTTTTTTTTTTTTTTTTTTTTTTATTGCATTTAGACCAAAATTTCTCATAGAATTGTTTATTTGTGCACTCAGGTGTGAGAGAGAATAAACATGAAATATGCCCTGTGCATATTTTATACATATATTTACAGCCTAATGCATGTTCATATATATATATATATATATATATCTATATATGTAAGTAAGTATAATATACAGGGTGTAAAAAAATACCCAATCAATTTACTTTATAGTTTAAAATGAGTATACTTTCAGCTATGTATGTCGGCACAATCACACAAAAAATGTACCTATCCAGTAATTGCATAGCAATAGAAAAATTTCTAGGTCGCGTCATATAATCGGAAAAGATCACTTCATCATTATAGCAATTTTAAAGACTAAAAAATGAAAAGAAACTGAAAAAGGGAAACTTGCATCCATTCCATGATTTCGTATCGCTCACTGATTATTGCATAAAAATTGTATATAGTACAATATGTATTCAATATATAATAACCGATTGTTAGGGCAATTTGAAACACCCTTTTAAGCACGTACTCAGCTTGTGTGTATTTACTTGCATTTGTATTCAATTGAATTTTATATTGATTTCATTTTTTTTATTTTTTTTTCATTTTATTTAATATCTAATATTCAAGAGCGTAATTTGAATTCTATGAATTGGATTTTGATTGGCTTTTCTTATCTGGTAAGGTAAACACTTTTGCAATTGATTTCATTACTATGCACAGCACCGCAAAGTAAATCTACTTTATTGTATGATTTGCACCAACAGAATTACTTCGGAGATCTAGATCATATAAATTAAATATGTAGTAAAAGCCTAAAACTGATTTTCTCTTAAACGGCTCAGCACCATCAACAAATTGAAGAATATCCTTACAACACCCGGCAAAAAAATTAAAATGCCTCTTAGGTGCCAAGTTATATCAGTTTATTGGAAAATGAGCAGACTGATCGAGTGGCAAAGTATGCTGCTTCTGCACTTCTAATTATGGATGATGTCATGGGAAAGTTGGATCTTCAAAGATACATTGGAAAAAACAATTAAAGAGAAAATTAACGGAAGGAAATCTACAACACACAGGAAATCTTCAGCACTACTCTTCCATTAGCCCTCAATTAATTTCACGTTTATATGCAACAAATGTTGAGTAAATCAAGGTCCATACCATTCCAAAAATTCGCCTTGGATCTTAATGGATCTTAAAGAAGCCTTCCTCCCCAATCTACAATTGTGGAGAAATTCTCACTACAAAGCACAATCTCTGCGACTGCCTTAACTTTTCCTTCCGGGCTAGAAGTATTGCATTGGAGCGACAAAACTTATCGACATTCTACAAACTACGTTGAAACTAATAGGCTCAATATCCAATGTACTTTTATAAATTAAAGCCGGAAGCCTCTGTTGCTAGTGTTCAATGTCTTTTCTTTTTTTTTAGTCTAAGATTTTTTTTCAATAAGCCTTTATATTACTACAAGGTTGTTCGAAATACTCATCAAAGGCAGCATTTTCAACTTAAAGACGATTCAAGAAGAAGGATAAATTTAGATATGCCCCGAAGTGAATCGTTAACTCATTATAAGCGAAAAGTCTTTTTATTAGCTTAAGACCTTAGACATGACCGTTTTCATATCGAAACTATATAAAGTCGAAATTCCACTATAATATCTGTTACATATGTCTATATATATAGAAATTATTGACAGCAACAATTTATTTCCTAAAAATCATATATGATTGTGTAGCGTGCAAGGCAACTCTCAAACTACGATATCTTCATTTTATTGATTCACTTCATATATTTTGCTATTTTTTCCATTAAAAAAAATTTTTTGGATCACCTAATATTTATACAATGATAACAGTGATGACGACAATGATGATAATAATGATGATAATAATACACTCACAATATGCAGCAACACGGCAATAATTGCAACTGCCACAAAAAGTTTACGTTTATGTTCATAATTGATTGGTGTTTGAATACATGGGGTTCTTATTTATTGTGCTCATCGCCATCATCAAAACGTTTGCAACGTCCACAAGCAAACTTCATATTACACCTTACAAAGTATATATATTCTGGATCAGAATCAAATTCTGAATTGACTTGATTGTGTCCGTCCGTCCGTCTTTTGTAAACATTCTCTTGACCTTAGGGAAGCAGTTATCGACTTCAAGTTTTTGGCGAAATCTTTGCAAGTTCTGACACGCAGCTTGCTATTGAAAATGACGACTAAATCAATCGAGGGACATACCTAACGTGTTATGGACGAAAAGCAATAAAAATTTTTATTTTTCTTCATTACTCTTATTATACATACTACAGCAGATAAAATCATGCAAAAATTGAAAACGATATTCTTTGGGATATTTTATCTGCACAAAAACAGAGAAAATTGACCACGCCCACCCAATATTGTAGTGTGTCACAGTTTAACTTTTTTTTCCAATACCGCGCAGATTTTTAATAGAGCGCAGAAATAAGCTACAAAAACACCATAAAGTTTCAAATTTAGAATGCAACTAAGCATGTCCGTCTTTGCGTTTGTCCAGCTGTCTATCTGCGCAATTCTGTAATTCTTGTGTTAAAGATTCCCCCGTTAGCGAAAATGAACATCTGGTCTAAAAATATGCAAAAAAATTTGAAAATGCTTAAGCTTTTCAAAGGATACGCCTACAGCGCCCACACGCCTATCCTACAAAAACTTTTATTTTGAAAAGAGAAAAAATCAATCGCGCCCACTACATATTATGAAGGATCAAAATTTAGTTCTATTGATTTTTTTGCCTCTTTTAGGGTAACTATGATGGGTATAAAATATTCGGTCACGACCGAATACAATTTTCTTATCAATTAGGTCTCTTAGAAAATCGGTAAATTTTTATGCAGAGCCATTTTATTAAATGTGGTATCTTCGTAGCAATATAAGAGAGATGGCCAATAGATTCATTGCCGATGCAATAATTATGGCTATGATAATGAGAGGAGATAATGGCCAATGAGCGGTTTGGTTGTGAAATAGATGCTAGCAACTCTTGAATTATGGTTTTTGAAAATTCTTAAATCGATTTGAAAGAAACGTTGTTTTAAGACAAATTGCTGCTGTTGCTGCAAGAGGCATAATATTAATTGAATTAAGAATTTGTTTTATTCCTTTTGGAAAAAAAATGTGTCCATAGTACTGTAGGCGAGTTCTTCGACAGATTTGGCCCATTTTCAACAGTAAGCTGCGTGCAAAAACTTTCAATATTTCTGCCTAAATTGAAATCGACAGCTTCATTTTTGCGATCAGGAAAATGTTTACAACAGACGGACAGACGGACAGATGGACATGTTTAAATCGATTTAGACTTTGATGCTCATCAGGAATAAATATACTTTTTAGAGACACCTGAAGCTTCCTTCTGGACGTTGCAAACATTTCGGCAAAATGAATATACTCCTCAAGCTTCGGTGATGGGTATAAAAACAGTAAGACTAAATATGCATTGATGGGAAATGTTTGCGGAAGGCAAATATAAGTTTCTGTAAATAATAGGTAAATAGATCTCTTAAAAATTGGAAATAGACGTAACGTCACCTAAAAATCAAAATTCAATGTGACGAACTTAATATCGGAAATAGTCAGATGAACAGGTAAAGCCATATAAGGCAGAAATAGCTATTAACTCTATTTACATGTGATTCGTAAGGTCATAGCTCCCTTCTGTCCACGGGGAAAAAGAGATAACAATAAATCACGACGAAATCTGCTTACTTAATAATCCATAAAGACGGCATATGAATATTATTTTCATATAGCGTAAGCGTAAAGTGCAAAGTCGATAAAAGACTTACCATCAGATTCCATACAAGGTTCACCGGGATGGGAGCATACTCCGAACTTATAATTTTGTTTGTCTTGTTGTAAAGTAAATGTTTTATCCTTTAACGAACTCAAATCAAGACTGTAAGTAAAACGGGGCGAGTAACATCGCGGTACGCGTATACGCACACAACCACGCAAATCGTACGTATGTATGTATGAAAAAGAGAAATGGTAAACAGAGAATACATTAAAGTCATGCATAACTAGTGCCGTATAGACAGACAGACACACACACACACACACACACACACACAAACACAAAGAGCAAATAAGCATATGCGTAAAATTAAAATTTATAGAAAAACGTAAATGGAAAATAAACAAGTGATAAAAAAAAGAAAAAAAACAAAAAAATGAAAAAGTAAACCGTTATGACGACATTCAAACAGCAGCAACAACAAAAATCAACTTACATCTCGTTGCCGTGGGTAACGGCAGTGCATGGAGCCAAATCATTGCACGCCAAAGGAGTAGCAAATGAAAATTCATATAAACAACCGTGGTAGCCCATTAATTCCGGATGGGCATTCTGCAGTAACGATTGTCACCAGATAAGATAACATTATAGCGTACATTATAGCGTATGCGTGTGTGCATTGCGAAATAAAATAAAAATACATATATAAATTTTTTTATTTTAAATTCCAACTTGAGTTAAACGAAAGCAATGAATTAATTAAATCTCTGCCTGCAAGTACATATATGCACCGGTTTTACCTTAACATCTTTATCGCAATAAAAATAAATGGTCGACGAGTAATTTGTGCTACCATTACACGGTGTCAACGAAATATGACGCATAATCAATTGGCCATTATCAATAACTGGTTGAGCATGCGCTAAACCATAGTCAAAAAATCTTGGGAAAAAAAAAACATAAATTTTAATTTTAAATAATTGCTTCTTATTTATGTAGGAACAGGAATAATTATTGAATTTTACTTTTTCGTATAATCCTTGGCGTTCAAGTCAACAAAACATACACTGCTCCCTAAAGGACACATGGCATTCTCTCCGTATAAAACCGGTTTGCAAATATTGATTATAAAAGCATTCCCTTTACGATCCGTCGTCCTAAAGAATTCAAATCAGTTACATTACGTAAACGAATACGAAATATAGATAATTTCCCGTCTTACCTGTAGTTAGTATCGCTTAGAGATCCTAATTCATATGTGAGTCCAGTTTTTGAATCCTCAACAGAACAATTACGGCCCATAATTGTCTTCGGTTCAGGTAAGCACGCATACGGTGTTTCATAAGTTATATAAAAAGAACAAGCGTCCTCGGACTATAATAAAAAATTTGGAAAGGATTTTCAGTAAAATTGGAACTTTTTCTCTTAGAAAAAAAGACTACAAATACTCAATTGCTCAAGGTCATCAATAATGAATTTATAGTTAAGCTTAAGCCATACATGGGCTTATTCAGAGCAAACATTATTTAGAATCTTCACGACAGGTGCCGGTCGTGAAGAGGTCTAAAATTAATGTAATGATTATCTGATCTGATAGATGCAATAATATATGGAATATGGTTTTTCACTTTGAATATGCAATATCCTCTTGCAGCTCCATATTGAGAATTCACCTATCTTTTCAATTATCTATGGGATATAGGATCAGCGCTCCGGCGCCGAAGATAACCATCTAACCCAGTATGCCGTGAATCCTCGTCCCGTAAGTTCTTCGGTTGAAGTGCTTCAAACCTTTGTTAATTTGAAAATTTACATTTATGGACTTTGTCTTTTTGCTTAATTTTTCACAAAGTATTTACATATCTTGGAATATGTAAAGAAGAAAACGTATATATTGACAGGGATTATAAAGGTAGAGATCTATATAAAATTTGTGGGCCCGCCTTGTCTTGAGACGATGAACAAAGGATAATGTTGCTCTCTTTCTCCCTCTCTCTCTCTCTCTCTCTCTCTCTCTCTCTCTCTCTCTCTCTCTCTCTCTCTCTCTCTCTCTTTCTTTCTCTTTCTTTCCCTCTCTCACTCACTCACTTCCTTTCTTTCTTTCTCTCTCTCTCTCACTCACTTCCTTTCTTTCTCTCTCTATCTCTCTTATTTAGCTAAATATCTAATATTTACTTGGCCTTTTAATTGGTAAATAGTACTACGGTACAAATAATGTCATTTAAGAAAGCTTGTCCATCCGTCAGTTTATTATGAGAACTATCATTGGCCAAAAAAAATTTAATTAATAACCTAAAACTTGATTTTAAGACATATACTGGATTAATTGTGACGGACCGAATATAAAAACGAATCACCATTGCTAGTATCACAAATATCATAAATACTATTTAATGCGATAAGAATCATTTCTACAAGTGTTATTTTATTAAATGTTTACATTATGAGCTTACGTAGGAAGTAATTTTCGATTGTTTCGTATCCAATGTGTAGTCACAGCCAAGAAACACATGCAACTGATACGTTTCATTAGTTTTGCCGCTAGCACACTTCTCACCATTTGTAAAACTGAAATACATTCTACCATTATGGTAATTCAGTTCATGTTGAGTACCTAAATTCAAAAGAATATATTTATAAAAATAACGTATAAAAGTTATTTATTTAAAAAAAAAAAAATTATACAAACCTAGAACAAATTCTTGTTCATTCGATCTCTTTAAACAGGCTGCAGTATCACTGCGATTATGACAAGTGCGCGATAAATTTCCGCAAATATTAAATTCAAATATGTCACCCGTATCACTAACAGTCAAATGAGCAAAATCGGAACGTAAAACGCTAAAATCGAACTTATGTTGATAAACTGGTTCGGTAAGGAAACAATCATTGGTTTTAAATATCTGTCGGAAATAAGAAAAAAATACGGGAAATGACTAATATGACAAGTTGGTAACTTCGCATGTTCACTCGCCTATGCGAAGAGAGTAACAAACACATTTTCCTCTTCCGTTTTTCTTTTTCTCTTAATTAATTAACTATCAAAGCATTGCCAATTTGAAACGTTACAAAAATAAACATTAAAGCAATTGTTGCTTTTGTGGTACAAATAAAAATTGATTTTACTTTAATAGCGAAACATTTTTCTTCATCTGACTATCTACTGCGAATGTTTAATGCAAATCTTTTCTTGTGTGCAAAATTCTGCTGCCTAGTTAGTAAATCTCATCTTCCGCATTTTATAAGACTACACTTTCTCGTGGTAACACTAAATGCCAAATAGAGCCGCTATTGTGTCAAAAACATATGATCAACCAAAACAATATAAACGCAATTATTTTCGGTTAAGATTTCATCTTAAGAGCAAAGGAAATGGGGAATTATAAAAACAAACAGCACTAACACATAAACACAATCAGGAAAACAATTGATAATGTATACACGTATATTTTCTGCATTACTTACCAAAGGATTAAGATTATCATTACTGGCTGCTCCTGTTGCTGCGGTGACCTTGACAAGAAACCCGACCAATGTAAACAAAAACGGCGTCAAGTGTTTGTACATGATTCTGACGATGGTACAAAGAGAAATACTACAAAACATACAAACACGTACGCTACACAATAACAAAATTCTGCATATGTAGAGTTTTTGTAATCAGGTGGTTGCCGATAAAAAGAAAAACAACAAACAATGGATGATTTAACACTTTTAAACTCTTGTTAATAGCTGTTAATTCACATATTCTGGCTTATGAAAATGCGACATATAAACATTTTAGCTTTATCAAAGACCTTTAACTTTTTTTTCATCATTATTCTCTAATAAAACAATCGTTAACTTGTTATTGCTTAACCATCTATTAAGTTCACAACTTACATTTTATCATCTATTTATTTATTATTATTTGTTTTTTGGTTTTTACCGATTGAAGACAAAACCATTTATCGCTTTTTTGTAAAGAAAACAAATATTTACATACACATATATAAATAATGCATAGATTATAGCCAAATGAAAATATGAAGTTTTTAAATCAATTAACCAGCTTAAAGCTCCACGCAATTGGAAAATCGCAAGAAAACTGAAACTACCGCTATTAATAATTGAGAGTTATTTACATTTATGCTTTAATTGAAATTTACTTTTCTCTTTACTCTTTACCTTTATGCTACTGCCAGGCTAAGATTTTTTTTGTATTGTTCACAATCTTAAATACATGTTAATGTTGGCATTGCCACTAACGAAACAGCTGTCGTTATCAACAATTCTTAGTCGGCACTCATTGCAATCGTACAAAACCAAAATTTTTTTGCAATCATAATTATTAAAATTAATAAAAACATGTCTTCATCCGCGGAGTTTGAATTTTTATTAAAGCGAGCCACAACTTTGTTGCATTCATCACAATCGAATTCTGCTTTCGAATTGCGACAATTGCTTGATGAAGAAATAAAAAAGCGCTATGGATCAGAAAAAATGATTACAAACAGCATGAACAAAAAGCAATTAGACGAAGAAGCAAATTTTCCTGGCCGCCGAGCTGCCACTCCTCCACCACAACCAGTTGAGGAAATTATTAATTTGATTAACTCTCCCGCTAAAACAATATCGGATTCCCCAGATACGATAGTCGATTCCGAAGATGCAAGTGGCGCTTTGTTATCGACAACAGCAGAAGACGAGGCTAATCTTAAAGAGTTTGGTGATTTGAATTGTTGTGTTTGTGGTGAAATGATGTTTACGGCCACAAACCGCTTAATTGAATGTTGTAAATGTGGCTCTTTATACCATCAAGAATGTCACAAACCTCTTATCGCAGACGATGAAATTTCCGACGACCAAGTACAAAATTGGCAATGCGATAATTGTGTCAATAAGCCCTCAACGACCAAAGCAGCTGGTTTAATAGCCGATGAACTAATGCCACTGACGACCACTTCAGTCGGTTCAATTAACAAATCAAAGTCGTCTGCCACTTCATCGCGGTCATCATCGTCATCAAATTCCTCGTCTCCTTTTTACAAAGCAGAACATACACTAACTTCTACTGCAACGACATCCAAAGTTAAAGAAGAAAAACCAGCTTCATCGACTTCAAAATGTGCAACGATAAGTACTGGGATCACTCAATCATCATCATCATCGTCATCCAAAAAGCATTCTTCTTCTTCTCCTTCATCAAATAAATCGAAGTCTTCCTCAAGACATCACGATAGTAAGCGAAAATCCGCAAAATAACGAAAAAAGAAATACTTTTAGAGATAAGATTGCATTTTTACACTAAGAATCTTTATGACATCATTTAACCATTTTCTTGTTTTACCTTACATAAGCCGTATATATATATATATATATATATATATATATATATATATATATATACATTGGGCCACATAAAAAGTCTGTGCAGTTTTTTGGTATATTTTTGAACAAAAATTAATTTTAATGAAGTACATATTAGCCATTACCTATGATCTTTTGCTATTTTTCGGGTAGCTTCAAAATTCCATCGATTGTGTGGTTTATCATCGAAACACTTGGCTAAGCAATTTTAAACGGCACATCGATTGGCCAATTTTTTATCATCAAAGGAGTTTTGCAGAGACGAAACAAATGATAGTCAGACGGTGCAAGGTCCTAGCTATAAGGTGGATGCTTTAAAACTTCCCAACCAAGTATATCTTTTCCAAATTTTTTAATTTGCATTTAATTAAGAACACTCCCCACTGACATGTAGCAATTACATCGTAGTTCTGGTTGCAAAAGGGGATGGATGGAGGGGAAACTTTAATAAAGAATATGATATCACATTTGAAATCATAAGCTATAATCTATTGTTTTTTACCAAAAACCAAGTATATACAAACAAAAAGCTTTTTCTTCTCCTTACGCGAATTACATAGAATCTGAAACCGGATTGAATCCAGATTGCGAAAAAAATTAGAATGCATAGTTACGACAGGTTACAAATAAAAAAAATTCAGTTTAAAGTAAAAGAAACTGAGTTCGAGTAAAATATTTTAGTGCGCATTTCCTCTAATTATCGATTGACTGATTTTTCAATTTATTCTCATGAGAGAAAAAGTACAATTGAAGAAAAACACTCGTGACCTGAGCCAGCCGAGTACTAGAAAAAAGTTTTGCGATATTACACTACTTTTTTTCCTTCTATTGGCAGCATTGGTCAGCTAAAAGCATATCCATACCAAACTTAACGTTCAACTGACAAAATCATGCATATTAGTGGAGAAAATTAAAATATGATTTATTTTTTTTCTTTTTTGCAATAGAAAATGTAAATTGAATAACCATTTATTTTTAAATATAAATTTAACCATTCAACCAATCTATAGTAGAATGTTAGGTTTTTAAATAGAAAACAAAAAAAAACTTTTGAAAATAAAATAAATCTTTACGCGTTCCAAGCGTCCACAAACTGTCGAAACAAACTGTAAATATTGAAATGGAAATCAGAAATCTAAAGTACTTAATATTTTAATAAACAATTATGATTCAAATGGAATATATTACCACACTTCTCCAATGCAAAAAATATTTCTAGGGTTTCTTGGACTTGGGACTTTGAATAACTCTTTTTGTTTTTCTTAAAGTAACAAAAGGTGTTCTAGGAGTATCGTTGTCACCGTCTTCGTTTACTTTACGAACTTTTACCCGTGTAACTGGTGTGGAATCGCCATTAGTTGTATCATTTGCATCCTCTTCATCTTGATTTAATTTTTTTTTACGTCTAACATTCACAAGAACATTAGCATCCATACTAACATCAAGTTCAAAATTAAATTCATACATTTTACCGGTTTTTCTAGTAGGGGTTATGTTATTGTTGACAACCGTGTTCGCCGAGGTTGAAGGACTCATTTTAATTTGCGGACCTAGTTTTATACGCGCCTTAGCATTCAACAGAGGATGGGGATTTTTTCGTTTTACTCTACGGGATGTAGATGCTAAAGGCGAATGTTGTTTTGGCGAAGCAGTCTTGCTGACGGACGTGAGAACGTCATTAGATTTGTCTTTTATGGGTGGCGAAATTATTTCTGGTGAAACAATCTGTTTTGACAATTTATTGCCACGACTTGGGTTTTTAAGCGGCTGCTTTCTCTTAGGTCTTTTGCTTTCAAATACGTAATCCTCGTCACTTTCGTCGCTGGCGCTAATGACTTCTTCGTCGTCACTTTCTTCTCTATACGAAAGTAGTTTTTCTTTTTCCACATTTACTCTAGATTTTGCAGTAGACTTTACTTTCCTACTGGTCGTAGGAGGGGAATCAAAAACAGTATTGTTCTCGTTATCATCACTTTCTTCGATCTCCAGAAGTGTTTGTGTTTTTTTAATATTTGCTTTAGTTTTTGCCGTAGATTTTGCAGCTTTGCTAGGAATGGGTCCCACAAGCGCCGTTTTCTTCACTTTGAAGTCTATGTCGCCGATCGTGTTGGCTTTCAAGGCTTTCAAGTAGTTCTTAAAAATATTACGGCACTTTTCATAATCTGGCTCATCGTTGTACTTCATTTGTGCTACGTATTTGATAAACTCCATTACTGCTGTCGGCGTACCCTGGGGGAATAATTTCTTTAGCTGCATGTCAACATTGTTCCAAAAATCTTCTTTTGACTTTTGTACTTTAACTGGCGCAGCCAAAAGTTTTTCTTTGACCCAAGGTAATTCCACTCCCAACCACTCGATTATATTGTAACCCATTATTTCTAGGTCACCTCGTCTAGTCGCAACGCCTTGATGAGCATCTCTGGATGTATATTGTATAGTCCCATTATGCATTTTTTTAGGATCTGGTTTAAAGTCTTTTGTCGTATAATGAGATGCTAATCCATAATCGACTAAATATGTTTGCGCACCACCTCCTTTACCATAACCCAGCAGGATATTAGCAGCTTTCAAATCAGCATGTACGTAACCGCAACGATGTACAAACTCGTAAGCATCCAACATTTGCAAAATAATGCGATATACAGCGATTTCCGGCAAACATCGCGAGTTGCTTACAAAGTGTTTACTGATATCAGCGCCGTAACGGGGCATCACAATAAAGCGATGTTTTATATTGTTAATATCGATTGAGCCATGTCCTAGCATATGAGGCACGCCTAAACTCTTTAGTCTGTTCTTCTGTTTGTAATTATTGATGTCATCTAGTTTACAATTTCGCATATAAAAATGCATTTCAACGAATAACGGCCCATTATCGTGAGGTTCCTGTAAAAATTATTTCATATCTGAATAAAGCCCGCTTTTATATAGTTATCTTTTGTACTTACGCATTTTACTACATAATCGTAGCTTTTTTCACCGCCTTTACAAGCTGTATAAATTTCACCGAAACCTCCGGTACCTACTGAGGTTCCGATTTTATATTCGTTTTTGGCTAAATCCTTAAGGATTGTACCTTCCCGTAATTTTTCCGGCATATTGTATAATTTGGATTTCTTTTTATCACCTCCCGTAGCTGCAGATGCCGCTCCTTTAGCCTTTGGTACTCTTGGCATTTTTTGCTTATATCCTTTTAACAATTCTTGCTTTAAACAAAAAGATTTGCATTAACCGATTGTCAATCTTGAAATTTTTTTTAAACCAGTTCTTGCAAACTCGAGAGCACATTTGTTCTTCAAGAACAATGATGCCCACTTATCGAATTCGCGATGTAAAGAACAAGAACTAGCATTAATAATTGCTTACATGGAATGAAAGAAACTAGCATTAATAATTGCTTACATAGAATGAAAGAAAATAATTATTTGAAATTTGAATTATGGCGCAATGGAAAATATTTACTTTTTATTTTTTATTTTTTACCAAAGTTCACACAGCAAGTAGATTTTAGTAGATTTATAGGAGTTTTCAGAGACAAGTACATCCTTCATTTAGCTTCAGTCACCAGGCTGTCGAAGGATATACATTAGTTGACAAACAATTGTTTTCTCTCTTAGTTGGATGAAGTATGAAAATTTTCTTTTATTTTGTAATTATAAAAGCACAACGAAATTTTTATCGCCGATAATAATGATTAGTATATTAAATTTATATGTTTTACCTTTAAAGGGTACTTTAAATCAATTTAAAATATTTGCAGTTTAGCAGTTTAGTTTTTTTATTTTAAATTTCCCTAATAAAGGATTTCGTCTTTTCTTACACTTTCAAAATGATAAAATCTGGCAATGTTCACTCCCTGCTGTATTTGCATTTTCCGCGTCTTTTTCTCGTCATTCGTAAGTAGAAATTCGTGTTGTTCAGTCGTTAGTGTGCGTGTAGAAAAGAAATAAAAAATTTATATTCAGTAACTCGTAGGAAAAGTTGTTGAAAATTATTTGGAAAAAATATTGAAAATTCATTCCAAAATTTTGACGCATTTGATCACAGATTGAAATGGTAAATTATCTTTTTAATTGTAATGTGCGAGAGACGGTCAACGTCATTGTGAATGGGGCCAACTGGAGTGTTAAGCGTGCATGCGTGTAAAAGTGATTTCTAGACGCACGGAGAGATTAGAATAAAAAAGCATCTGTGAAAAGCGAAGGGGAAAAACTGATTTTCAATAATATTTTATTAAGCAAAATTTAACTAAAGTCACAATAAAATTTAAACGAATATATTCGTTTTTAACCTCACTCTTTGGCGGGAAAAAGTAAAAAAGTAACAAAAATGGCCCCCACACCGTTATTGGCTTCTCGCAATTTATGTATTTTAAGTTGATTTAAAAAAGTAATTAGTTTTACATTTTGTTTTGTTAAAAGGCTGGTGGAAAAGCTGGTAAAGATTCAGGAAAAGCTAAAGCTAAAGCAGTTTCGCGTTCCGCTAGAGCTGGGTTGCAAGTAAGTTCCATTTGAAAAATAAACGCGTTTCCCGCCTTTTTAGGAAAACAATTCCCTTGCTTTCAGTTCCCTGTCGGTCGTATTCATCGTCATTTAAAGAGCCGCACAACGTCTCATGGACGTGTAGGGGCTACAGCAGCAGTTTATTCAGCTGCAATATTGGAATATTTAACAGCCGAGGTAAAGTTTCTTCAATTACATTATGTAGTATAGACATTTCATCATTCTCGATTAAGGAATTTTTTCTTTTAGTTTTTTTTTTATTTTTCATCAATACAGAAAAAATATTACCCGCCAAATTACTTTTCTCTTTTCTTCCTATACATACATATCGCTTTCTCTTTTAAACTTATAATAGTAATAGTAATGCTTTTAGGACATATAGGCATATGCTGTACATTTTCTGTTGACTGTTTGTTAGGCATATTGTTATGCCGTATCAAATACAATTGTTTTTGTAGCGTCATTTGCCCGCCATTTTTTCAACTGATATTCTCATTTTCTCTTGTTTACATTTTTGATAAGCGTTATGAACAGGGTTACCACATTATATCATTTTTCGGCAATTCACAAATGTCAACCACGCAGGAAACATTCCTTTATACTTTAGTTATTTATTTATAAAGACAAAAAAATTTAATGCAGGATAGTTTGTAAATCGGAAAAACTATTCGAAAACATTTATTTGTATGAATTCATTGATCTAATTGATCTAATGTGGGCGGTGAAAAAATCTTTTTGCGTCATTATATTTTCAGGTTCTGGAATTGGCAGGAAATGCATCCAAAGATCTTAAAGTAAAGCGTATTACGCCGCGTCATTTGCAGTTAGCAATCCGTGGCGATGAGGAGTTGGACAGTCTTATCAAAGCCACTATAGCCGGCGGTGGTGTTATTCCCCACATTCACAAATCTCTGATTGGCAAAAAAGAAGACAATGTACAAGACCCGCAAAGAAAAAATACCGTTATTCTTTCGCAAGGTTATTAATTTTTAGTTTTTAAACTAACAACTTTTTTTATAATTTTTTTTTTATTTTCATTTTATATATAATGCATATAAAATTAAAAAAAAAAAAAGATGATCATTGAAGAACAATGAGTTTATATTGTTAAACACGATACATTTTTTGTTTAAACTGAACATTTAAAAAAAATTACTTTCTTTCGCAATCATAGTTTGCCTTTAATATTAATTTCTTAATTATAAAAATAAAATTGCAATGTTTTACATAAAAAAAGATAAATTATAAATAAAACACAATACCCACACAACAGAAAACACATTTAAACACACTTACACAATTATATATTATTAATAATAAAAAAAAAAAACAAAAAACAAAGATTTAAATGAAATTTTAAGTCCATTTAGAAAGGGAGAAAACGATATCAACTTCTTTATCACTTATCTCTCATATAAGTATTGTGTGGGTGTAAATTTTAGATAGCTTGTCGTACTCATAACATTCATTGTGCATACAGTTAACCGAAATCCAAATACTTAATAGTATTTGGTCGTCCGTGTCCTTTCGACCATAGTATTAGAAGTTAAGTATGTAAGAAATTTGACTTTGAACCCTTAACCATACGGGAAAACCTGAAGCTCAAATGAGTTTTTTAATAAAAAAAAATTAAAAATTGCAAAATTTATTAGTAATCATTTTATTTATTTGTTTTTATTTCTTATCACTTGATAAACTATTTTATGGAAATGTCTTTTATACTAATGCGCTTTATAGATTCTTAATATTCTAATATAAATTCGCCTATTATGAAATAGCGCACATATGCGAAAACATATTAGATGGTGCTATGAAATATTTAGTATCTTTAAATTATTATCTTCTATGAATTTCAAATTGTCTTTTTATAAGTTGATGACTGATTACATTCTTAATTAAACATAATCACTGAGCAACAGGTATATTAAGTTTCGTTGCAATTTTTCGCCTTGATATCGTCTCCAACAACAATTCACAGCCAGCTAAAATGATTATATCATATTAGATTCATGCACTGATCGAGAATATGTATATTTTACAATATGTTGCGGCAAAAGATGAGGAAATTCTCAACAACCTTCATTGTGTTCAGTGGCCGCCAATCGCAATATGGATTATAGGTTTCTCCAAGTGCAAGCGATACGGAAAATTTCACCACACCCTCAATAATCTACATATATATGATATTTTTTCCGCAGGCAGAGCTAGTTTGGCATTGCTCAAATCATTCATTAGGTTCAATGAAATTGAACGTAATTAAAATGCGACTACCGTATAATCAGCAATCGAAATCATTCTTCTTATTCTACCTATTATTATATATACATCTATATATATATATATATATATATTAATATCTCATTCAAAAGAGTGCGAGTTAAATTTCCGTAAGAGCGAAACGTTTTTCGTAGCATTTAAATTAACCGACGCGTAAAAAGAAGATAGAATGTAGAACCGTAAAGATTGGAAATTTCTGATCTAGGGAGACTTACTGCAATGCTGTCCTATTGATAAATCTAAAGGAAAACGTTTAATCTTTCCATTTATCATTTCTTCAAAGTTCTCTTTTTTATATCTTATACCAGTGGTGGTACAGGGTATATTAAGCTTGTATGGATGTATGAAACACGTAGCAGGACTTCAAATAGAAATCGATCAATTGAGAATAATTTTGTGCATATCTGTTCATCTTGCTTTCTTGTACTCAACCTGTAGTCCGCAGTTTTTCACATAATTTTAATGAAATTTAGCTTACTGACATGCATTCCCATATAAAGCCTCATTTTGAGAAGCCGTTAAATGAGTAACTGTGGGCTGTGGTGGAGTATTTTATGGTAGGCCACAACCTACTCTTGTTTTTTCTATTTACCTTTACCTTTTCTTTACTTTCTTATGTATCTGGTGATTGGAAAAGTGTTCTTGTTTCTGCTCAGTAATATAAAAGGGAAATAAGTAAGGGCCGGTCATGTCGTTTGTTGTAAGTGCTGTTGTTCTATTATATGCCTATGTATGTACTTTTTCAACAAGTCCACATTTTCTTTAGCCTGGTAGTAAATTCCACCGATCATAAGTAGAAACGTTTGTTATAAGTTTATAAGTGCAATGCTTATGAAACAACTTTGCGAAAGATTTATAGATTTTAGTTTACATAGGAATGATTTAACAATTTTCATTGAAAGTATTTCCCTTTGATCAGTGTTAAAGTCTCTTCAAGTTGTGATTATGATTTCAAAGTTTTAATATTTTTACAGTGATGCTGGATTAAGGCCCTATTTCATATGTAATGAAGAAAAACTTAGCCGGTCTTATGTGAGGCTTAAAGCAACTACGAATCTAACATTATATACTTTTTCCACATTTTGTATAATAAATCAATTTTTTTTTTTTCTGACATTCAAAACCTTTCTTTAAACGAAAACTAAAAGTATATATGTTTGTTATAATTACTTTTTATTAAAATTTTTTTCATTTAAATGATTTCCGTTGTAGGCACTTCTAAATCGTATAATTACGTAATATGTTAGACATTGAAAAAAATACAAATTACACATATACATGCACACACACACACACACACACACACACACACACACACACACACACAC